TAATATTTGAATTGATAAAACTGATTTTGATCTTATACTAATCCGATTTTTATAAAACTCTTATGGGTCCGATCTATAAATATATCCTTTCAGATAACAGAAAAAAATCATAAACAACATAAGATTTATAAAATTGTGTTATTACACACAACATGTGTGATCTGCAGCAATACAAAAAGGTCGAAGCTCAGCGTGTAACATTGTTCAAGGAACAAAACACTGATTTTCAGCTTCAACCCTCACCGGTCGATAACTGATCAATTACCAATCGATCAGTTACGTCACGGAGTAGGGATGAGAACGAAGCCGGCCTCCTTTCTCTCACTCTCTATACAGTTTTTGTACATTTTTTTTTTGTGTTTTATTGTATTAATGTCTCGATCGTAGCAGTGACTGTAATACATGATCATATCATTTTAACTTTTCAGTGCGACTCTCATGTTAATTTTATTCTCATAGTGAATTTATTATTATTTTTCAGTGTTATTATTATTTATTTAGATTTTATTATTAATCAGTAAAGACAGTTTTCTTTTTTAAGTTGATTAAGTAATCTGATATAAATCAACACGTGTTGTGATCTTTTGCCAACAACGGCCGTTACTTTACCTGTATATCATACTTAATATTTTGTGAAAAAAGTTTAAATCTCAAGAGGCACGAGATGAACGGAATGAACAGAGACAATTAGAACGAAGAGAAACGCATAGATTTGTAGTCAACGGACGTAGAGCAATTGACCAACAACGCCATTACACAGATTCATTCCTTGTCCAAAAACTTTGGACAAGGAATTCCCGCATTAAGATGTATAAATTTAAATATGAGCCAGTTGGAATGTGTTGCTCAGCAGGAAAAGTGTAACTAACGGAAATTGAAACACCACCTTCAGATCCAGATTCAATCCTTTTTCTAAAGTCAATTAACACATTCAATTCATATTTCCAAATAACATCTTTCGAAGCTCCAGAAATAATTCAAAATATTGCTGCAAAACGGTCAACAATTTGATGGCACGTTCAAAATCAAAGGCAAAGTTTATTACAATGTGGGCTCATTACTGCCAATGCTAGAGAATCTCATAATTTTTTACAAATTAACTTCATGGGTGGCGAGAATTCCGAATGTGCACTTGCGTGGCTTGTATAAAGTATATTTTAATTGTGTACAACGCTTCATTCCTCTTTCAATTGTAATTACATACCTACACACTTATAGTGTTAGTTATTTTTTATTAAACTAAAAAAATATTTTCTAGAAATAATGTATATGGTAAAACAACGTTTGCCGGATCTATATATATATATATATATATATATATATATATATATATATATATATATATATATATATATATATATATATATATATATATATATATATATATATATATATATATATACATATACACACATACATACAATACATGTAACAGTAAGTGCATAGTTTTATGTATTATTAGTTATAAGAGTGAAATTTCAACCTTTTCTTAAAGGAAGTAATGAAAGAACTATCTCGTATATTAAAAGTAAATCTGTTCCACAGTTACACAGCGCGTAGTTTTTTAACTTGGTACCAAGAAACTATATAGGTTATAAAATAATTATAATTTAACCGAAAGTGCCTAGATCAGAATTCACGCTGCATTAGTAGAATCATTACCTATATAAAATGATAATATTTTACTCTTCGACTCGAAATTGTTTCGATTGACTCGAATCACGAATTCTCAGCACAAATCGAAATATCGATTCGAATACGTGATTTGAGATAACTTCGAAATTCGAGTTTTTATACTACAAAAAGGATTCCATTCACTATCTCTATTTCAAGAATATGTCGAAAGAATCGAGACCTGGCCTTTTGGTCAGAAATTTAAGATTCAGCAAACCAATTGTAATTGTTTTGTTTGCATAGTACGTTGTCAAGTATGCACTCGTGTGGCACCTGCGCACACACAACGTTGCGTGACGTCAGCTAATGCTTTATATTGTTTATTAACATTAACTAAAATCAGCTATTAGCTATAAATATTAAAAATAACACTACAATATTATAGATTTTAAGAGCTGTGGATTTCATAATAAAAAAATAAATAAATAAAATAACATAGCGACTGATAATACATAAATATTTTCTATGGATCTTATATATTTATTCTACATATATATCTTTATTTTATTTCTAAATATGAAATAAATATATAATAATTAATTAATTTGTTTTACCCCCTGTCACCGCGAGTCCATTTTTGTAATTGTAATAAAAACTATCCTATCAATTAAATGATACCCAATTTTTTGACGCAATTTGCATCTGAAACCGATATATCGCTCGAAATGTTTGTGAATGTTAAATGAACTAAACTACGAATTGTGGACAATCAGAAATCATGTCAGATAAATGACATAAACTGGGCATCATTCGTGGCGTATTTGAAGTAAAAAAACGTAACTATACGGTATCATTCCATTTAGATACGAACTGAAATAGTTAAGTCATTTATTGAATCTGATCCTTTTGCTAAAATGACTTATTTATAATATTAATAGGAATTCAGACTAAACATAGCAAGTCGGGATAATGATGATTGCGAACTTGAATAATTTAAAAACAATTTAATTATTATGATAATAGCTTTGTTAATGTGTAGTACGAATACACTATACTCAACGACAAAATAAAGAGTTAGTTATTATAAATGTACAGAAATATTTTTTGTTTAATACCGCTAGGTTGGTGTTACTGCTGCTGTTAGTTCTTGGTTCCACCCACACTGCGGTAGCTCTCTCGTCGAACCACTCGCTGCCTCCTGGAGTGACACTTTCAGGTAATATATGAGAACTAGGTACCTACACCAGCATTAGGCCTATCATAGACGGTCTTGCATACAGTCATATTTTAAATATTTAAATTAAATTTTTATTCGTACTGAAATCGGCCTAGTAAATGAAGTGTAACATTTCGTTCAGCATAGTTCCTACCGCAATAGGCCAAAAGAACGAGAACTTAAAATTTTTAATATTTTATAACATATATGTATTATGTAATTTTAGCATCAAATTTGTATTTATTTCGGCCTTGAAATTTTGGAAAATATTTCATGATGGGGTCTCTGTTTTGGCGGTACAGATGGCGAGGAGTTCGAGTACATAGTGGTGGGTGCGGGCGCGGCGGGCGCGCCGGTCGCCGCCCGGCTCGCGATCGCCGGCGCCAGCGTGCTGCTCGTGGAGGCGGGCGGAGACCCGGACCCCATATCCTGGGTATGGTATATACACATCGAAAAAGTCTAAGCAACACATACAAATTTAAATTTTACAATGTGTTTTCGCATCCTTAGTATTTTCTTATTTATATTATTTATAATGCTTTTTTGATATTAAATAACAATTGTTTTTTTTTTATTTTTTTTTAATAATCTTAATTAACAATAATTACGAGTAAGTACTGTATGTAAGTAGTAAAAAGTAAGGCACCTTATCAACTAAACTTAAACTAAAATTGTAAGGTTGTAAAAAATTTGCATAAATTAATACAAAGTGTGGCCTCCTCTGTTATGGAGAACTTGCTGGCATCGATTATTCATAGAATTGATGAGACTGCTAAATATTATCCTGCGGCAATTGCTCCCAATGAAATTTTAGTAAGTCCATCAGTTGTTGGGTTGTTGTCACTCCATGCAAGTCCTTTAAGACACGTCTCTGGAGCATGTCCCATGCATGCTCGATGGGGTTGAGGTCTGGCGATTGTGCAGGCCAAGGCAATACCAAGATGTTTTCCTTGCCAAGTACTCCCGAAGCTGTATGGGAACGCACATTATTATGCATGTTTCTGCGAATGGACGAACATAAAGCCCTAGAACATCCTCAACGTAATTTACAGCGTTTATGTTACCATTTACTAAAACGAGCTCAGTTCGTCTGTTCTTCATAATACCCGCCCATACCATAACTGTTGAACCGTTGTATGGATGCACTTCCTGAACGCACCTCAGTCTTTCAGTATTTTCAGGACGACGGTACACTCTTACCCTTCTAGTATCAGGCTTGAACCCAAATCGAAACTTATCACAAAATAAAAGTTTATCCCATTGTTCCCGGGTCCATGTAATGTGTTCCCTACACCATTCATTTCAACGAGCGCGATTCCCGTGACGTATCGGTGAGCACCTAATTGGCCGTCATGCTCGTAAGCCATACTCATGCAATCGTTTTCGCACAGTTTGACAGCTAATAACAACACCACTTGAATTTTGTAGCCTTAAACCTATCTCTCGGGCAGTTAACATCGGCTGGCGTCTTGCAGTCAGTTGTATGTATCGATCTTGCCGTGTGGTTGTACACCTTCCTCGATCTGGGTGCTGCTCAGCAGGATCTCCCATGTTAGTGTAACGCTGATGAAGACGACAAATAACGCTTCTGTTGACACCAAAATACCGAGAAACCTGAAATTGACATCTTCCCGCTTGCAATATCTCTACAGCTCTTTGCATTTCATCTGCGTTCAAATGACGTCGCTCCATGACGTAAAAAATATCTCAAAATCCAAATTTGTTAAAAACTTTTTCAAATTATTATTTAAATCATAAAATGTACTTGCTGAGAGAAAGCGCTTTGACTAAGAGACGGACAGACGAAGTCACACCATAAGAGTTAGTTTGTACCATTTTTATAAAATCCTAAAATTAATACTTCATATCGTTATATGGTTAGGTATTCATATACCTCTGAATAAAAGATAAAATCTATCTAATATAATCTTAATCTGAACACGGTGTATAAAATTAAATACGTATGTACACATGTATCATTCGCAAACAGAAGCTAATAGTTAACTGCTTATTGCAGGTACCAGCTGCATATTTGTCGCTATATGGATCAGCCATGGACTATCAGTACGAAACAATTTCTAACAACGTGTCGTGTTTGTCATTACTGAATAGAGCTTGCCAGGCCAGCCGCGGTAAATGTCTCGGGGGCTCCACCAGCACGAATTCCATGATGTACGTCCGCGGTAACCGACGCGACTTTGACGAGCTGAATATCACGGGCTGGTCCTGGAAACACATGGAACCTTATTTTTTGCGTTACGAAGGCTTGCAAGATTTAGATCTTCTTCCCGCATCTTCCATACTATTTCATAATACCACCGGTACTATGAAAATAGAATTCTTCGAACAGTCTAACAATCCATGGCATTCGAAACTCATTAATGGGTATGAAGCGCTTAATTTCCCTCGTAATCCTGATGTCAACGGGGTATCTCAAATTGGAGTTTCTCAAATCATTGGGTATACGTATAGAAATGAACGTATGAGTACTGCACGAGGATATCTCGGAAGAGATGATGTGAAGAGGAAACTGAAAGTGGCCAAGTACACCAGGTGCACAGGAGTTATCATAGACGATGACAATGTAGCTCGTGGCATTACGGTCGTTCATGGACCTTCTAATGCTACATTACGACTCTATGCGTCGCGGGAGGTTATATTGAGCGCGGGGGCTCTCGTCACTCCACAACTACTTATGTTGTCGGGCATCGGTCCTGCTGATCATTTAAATGAAATGGGTATACCAGTTCGCGTAGATCTGCCAGTAGGCAATAATATGACAGATCACGCGTTGGTGTCAGTTTTTATTAAAGTGGAGGACAAGTTAAATTTATTGAAAGGGATTGAAAAAAATAGCTCGCTAGCGAGTATGTTATTAACTCGAGGTGGATCTATCGGCGTTACTGATGTGGTTAGTTTCGTGAACACTTTGTGCTATGATTTTGATAAACGACAGCTCATCGGAAACAGTTCCGAGTGTGAGTTGCCGACGACACAATACATTCATCTGTATGCAGATAAAGATTTTATTACGATCGGGGGACCCGAACTCAAAATTCGCATGGGATTAGATGACTCTGTTGTTAATCAATTAAGAGAAATTAATAAAAAATATGCCATTATAACGGTATGGGCAGTAGTTTTGCAACCAAAGTCTAGCGGTACGGTGCGGTTGGCAAACGTGGACCCGCTTCAACCGCCTGCCATTTTTCTTAATTATTTGTCTGATGACCGCGATATGGAGGAGATGCTGCGCAGTATTCGGATTACTGAGCAGTTGACGGAAACGCCGGCGTTCAAGGCTGCGGGCGCATCGCTAGTGCGGCTGGAGCTGGAGAGCTGTCCCTCCAACTCGCGAGATTCGACAGCGTACTGGCGCTGCTACGCGCGCCACCTGACTTACTCTACGTTCCATTCCATGGGCACGAGCGCGCTGGGCCGCGTACTAGACACACGGCTGCGCGTGCGCGGGGTGGCGCGCCTGCGCGTGGCCGACGCGGGCGCGCTGCCGCGGCTGCCGCGCGGCAACACCGCCGCCGTCGTCATCGCGCTTGGCGAGAGGCTCGCAGACTTCCTTCTAAAGGACAACATTAATTAATACCAGTTAATTAACTTGTTAAAAAAGAAAAAGAAATGTTTATGAAATGGACTTTTATTGTTTCTATTTTTTTTTTATACAGCTTATAATGGCAAACAAGCTAACGGCCCACCTGATGGAAAGTGGTAACCGTCACCTATACACATGAGCAGTACCATGGATATAACAGAGTATAGTGTTTCGCCCATGATACCCAGCATTCGTTGCCATTCCTGAGGACTCAGGTGTTATTCCTCTGTACCCTGTAAATTCACGCCATATCCCACCCTTCAAACCAAAACACAGCCATGCAAGCATAACTGCTTCACGGTTGAAACACGAATGGGACAGAGGTACCCAAGCAAACGACTTTTGTACAAAATCTCTCTCTGGTAAATGGACTTTGGACTATGGACTTTCTTCTGCCTTTTATAATCTAATAAAGCTGACTAAATTGTTTTCATTTGTTGGCATTGTTCCCAGATTCTTATTTTTTTTTTCGAAATTATGAAAGGCAAGGTAAAAAACCGGCCGGAAACCTTAAATAAAGAAGGAAATAATTGTAATTTTTAATATTAACTCTCTACACTATGTTCTATTCCCCATTGTCAAGGTGAAATACTTAACACCTACATAAACATGAAGACGTTCAACTAATAACGTATTTGTTACGCAAAACACAATCATCATCTATGTATCTCTTTCACTCAATACACATCTTCAACAAATATCTTTTACTATCTCTATCCCGCGGCTTTACCAATAACGTATTTGTTACGCAAAACACAATCATTATCTATGCGTCTCTTTCACATTGACACATCTTCAACAAATATCTTTTACTATCTCTATCCCGCGGCTTTACCAATGTGAATTAGTATGTAACATATCCTGTGTGCTAAGTTATAACTTTTATTTATTTTGTGAATTTGTGTGTGTACGCGATAAGTACTCATGTACTACTGTATAATATTAATAAGATTTGAATTGCTGACATAAAAATGATAAATCAGTTATGTACAAAGTACATAACTGATTTATCATATAAGTATATATATATATTTATAGCTAACAACGCGTAATGGTTGTTAAAAGTTGATACCTACATAAGTATCAACTTTTCATTTTTATTTGCAATTTCTATTTAGCAGTGTTTGACACTGGTCTCACCATCACGAATTAACAATCCAGCTTCACACGGATAGGTGGAACTTTAAATTACGTTATTGTAATTTTCGAAGAGATCTTTTTGTTTTTATCTTTAGCAGGTTTGCAGTTTTTGTTTTTATTTTTACGAACAAACAAGCAAACGTATAAAAATTCCTCTTTACAATATTTCATAACATAATACGTATAAAGTATAAAAAATATTGCCCCATTACTATGCTCCTATAAATAATAGCGTGATGAAGTGTATTCTAGTTCATTTCACACCCTTATGCAATATATTACTAATAACAAACTAAAATTCTTGCCTTTTAAAATTCTTTCACGGCTGTTTGCGTGTTACTCCAACCATACATAGAAACAACAATAATAAACATCTTGGATTCTGTATCGATAGTAAACGATATACTCAGATTAAATTTTCGGTAAAAAATATTTGAAATACACTTACAAGTAAAATGGCATTGCTGTTTTATACCCATATATCTATATGATAATTGACAATAGATGGCGCTTGTCCTATTATGGAGAAATATTGACTATAAATTGTCTTGACCTTTTTATCAATATAAAATCCGTAAAGAGGTGAAACATATTTTCATTAATTTATACCGATTAAAAATATGTATTAATATTTTTATTTCAGTGTGACAGTGTTTGAGCATCTTTTTTATTGTTGTTAACTGCACCTTTTACTTCATAATAGATTACATTGGCCTCATTATGAATTATAATAATAAATAACTTTTATTCAAGTAAGCTTGATAATAAGCGTTTTTGGATCGTCATTTTTAATGAAACTATCGCTCTATTCAGGATGCAATTTCACCTGAGAACACAGCTGTTGCATTATTCAAATAAAAGTTTACAACAAAAAAATATATGAATAAAAATTGTTTCCTTTTAATACATCAATTTTATTAACCTCCTTTTGCCTGTATATTCGCCATATTTATCTAAAACGTACTCAAAAACTCCTTGATCAATTTTAAAAATTCTTTCACTTATGGAAAACAAACTTAATCCTCAGGGGGGAAAGGGATTGTTAGCAATGGAGTTTGCTAGCCCCATTGCTAGCAATATGCCCTATTAGGTCGACGTCCACGTAGTTCCCCCTGGAAACCATTGTGAACAATTCTTGTTGAATTCGTCACGATGGGCTAACAGACCTGCTTCATCCTCACCTATCATCCCTCACTGGTGCCCCGCCGGAGTATACCAATAGCACAGGTGGGGTAATCATTCGATTATCACCCATTAAAAAAACCTTAGTCTTCAGGAATGGCAACGCATGAATGTATCATGGGCGAAACAGTATAATCTGTTATGTCCACGGTACTGCTCAAGTCTATAGGCGACGGTTACCACTTTCCATCAGGTGGACTGTCAGCTTGTTTGCCATATTAAGTTGCATAAAATAAAACATTATCAGCAAGTGGCATTTGCTTTATATTGTTTTCTGATATACGATCTACCCGCGAGAAGTCGAGCCGGATTACTTTCTTAAAATTTTATTTAAAATTATAATATTAAACTAACTACTGTAACTTGTTTAAACTACATTCATGTTTTTATGACAATACAATTTCATTTCATTTTAATATATTTCATAATTTCCTATGTTTTCTACATTATTTCTTACTCTTGAATCTTATAAAATAAATTAGCAACAATATCATCGAAATCCATTCATATTTGCAAATGATACGCAGTAAACTTGAAAAGTATAGTGTTCAACTGCTCAGCTCCTATATGAAATAGCGTAATGATATTGCTCAATACATAAGTGTAAGTCTCGTCAAAGTTTACCCACGCATTTTTACGTAATACTCAAAACAGAGACAGGCAGAAATATTAAAAAAAAACATTGTTTCGGGTTGGGGAAATATTAGTCAAATATTAAATGTACAAACAAACTGCTGTTTTGCTTTTATTATGGTATAAAAAAGAATATATATATATATAGACAGTGAGTGGCGAGTGTTACTCAGTGTAGTGACTTTAATAAAACGTTGTGTTTGTAACAGTGACGATATACAGTGATCAGGTGATCAGGGGGACGATGTGAGTAAACAAGTGGACAGCCAGCGGGCGGCCGCGACTACGCTCGCTCTCTAACATTTATCAACCGACTACAACAATTATGTATTCCACAAAAATCTGAATTCAATTATGGCTAAACCAGTGATCTTGATCTAAAAAAATAAATTACTAAACTAGTTTTGATAGAATTCCTATGGGATTAATCTATAAATATATATCCTTTTGGACAATAAACAAAATACCAATTTTTCTTAACAGGTAACAATAACTTTTTGAAAATACGATAGAAGCGTGATGAAATGAAAATCTGTACTATAAATTTGTGAATTTGGATGTTCAGGATAACCTCCGGTACTACTGATCCTATTTTAAAAATTCGTTTACTGATAGAAAGGTATATCATCCCTGAGTGCTGTAGTCTACTTTTTGTTTTACTAAGTACATCAATTTTACAATAATAAATGTATTTGAAGTCGGCAAAAATTCTATAATAAGTATGACATGCACTGCCTGGATGGTTTAAAATAAAAAAGTAAAATATTATATATAGCAAAAATGTCCATTGCTTTTAACCTTACCGCGACCGCAACATCATATATCTCAATTTAATATCTCAGCCAAAAATAGACTTTATGTTGAAAGTAAAATAAATATTACAAGATTAAGTTTGGATACAGGTTTGACGTTTACTTTACAAATTCTTATAAAAACAAATAGATAAATCAAAATGATAATTTCATGAAGATAAGGTTTTCTTTTGACTACATGTTAATTGATGCAGTTGGTCAGGAGATAGTGCGAAATAAAAACAATAAGCCAGTAAAATGTTTGCATTGCTGCTGCCGCTGGCTGTGCGGATATAGTAAACGGGGCGCGGTGGTAAGGGGCACAGGTGGGACTATATAAACGCGCCCACATCAGGTTCGCGCACAATCAGGTCTGTGCCTGAGCGCATCTCTTCTATCTCTCCTCCTCGCTCGTTACGACAAACCGACCCTTCGTACCTCGACGGGGGTCAAAGTGCAGCGGCCTAAACCGAGGTCTGAGCCGTTCTGGCGCCTTTGGGCGTATACCGAAGTCCATAAGGAAGAGTCGACACACTGTCGCTCCCCTCTCGCAGGTTCGGAGTGCCATCTGCACTCGCCACTGCACACGCGCCTTGCGAACGTGTAAAAGCCATATGTGGCCAGAAACAATTGTTAAATACCAAGCAAAACAATTTTTAAATAGGCGGTTTATTTTAAAATCGTATAGATATTAGTGCATTACTTACACAAAAAATAACAGCTTTACTTAAATGTGTCAAATAGTTAAAAAGTTACACAAATAAATATTACACACGTGCGAAGTCGGGACGAGTCGCTAGTTTATTATAAAAGCTTTTTTATATAGTATTAAAATTATCTTATGAGGCAAAGAGAAACATGACGTAGTCTTATCAGAATGAGTCTTTATATAAAAGCCGCGTTTTAGTACTTTTGTCTATTTGGCAGACTTTGAACAAAAGTCGATTGTTTGGGTACCTCTGTCCCATTCGTGTTTCAACTGTGAAGCAGCTGTGTTTGCATGGCTGTGTTTCGGTTTGAAGGGTGGGATATGGCGTGAATTTACTGGGTACAGAGGAATAACATATGAGTCCTCTGGAATAGCAACGCATGGGGGGTATCATAGGCGAAACAGCATACTCTGTTATATCCATGGTACTGCTCATGTCTATAGGCGACGGTTGCCACTTTCCATCAGGTGGACCGTCAGCTTGTTTGTCATTATAAGTTGTATAAAAAAAAAAAGTTAAATTACAACATTAGATTACTAGGTACATAGGCATAACATCTTAGTCCTGGAGGGAAAGGGTAATGGGATCTAACGGTCCCATTGCTAGCAATATATCTTATCAGGTGATTATTATAGTTTGGATGCTGGTTTTTGTATGTTTATCCTTGGTTTGTTTTTGAATAAATGACTAATGACTTTGTTGATGTTCGCCATGAATTCAAACCTTCTTTATCCTCACCTATCATCCGTCACTGGACCCCGCCAATGTATACTGATAGCACAAGCGGGGTTACCATTCCATTATCATACCATAAAAAATATCTTGCGTAGCGACGCATATAGGACCGATTTTAGGTCGCCATTCCTGAACACTAAGATGTTATGTTACCGTATTCTCTAATTACACACATTCCATTCTTTAAACCGCAAAACTGCCAAGTACGAATACAGCCACTTCGCGACAGGACACGAAGCATGTAGTGGCGGCAGAGAAATCTGTTCGAATATACGACTATTGCATGAACTCTCTCCCTGGTCAGGAGCAAACCACTTGTACGTTGTCAAGTATGTACTCGTGTGGCACCTGTGCATACACAACGTTGTGTGACGTCAGCTAATGCTTTAAGTTGTTTAAATTAAAATCAGCAATTGGCTATAAATACTAGAAATAACAATACAATATTATAGATTTTAAGAGCTGTGGATATTGTAATAAAATAAAATGAAACAAAATTATATAGTAACGATACTCAACGACAAAATAAAGAGTTAGTTAAATGTTAAACAATATTTTTTTATTTGATACCGCTAGGTTGGTGTTACTGCTGCTGTCAGTTCTTGGTTCCACCCACACTGCGGTAGCTCTCTCGTCGAACCACTCGCTGCCTCCTGGAGTGACACTTTCAGGTAATATACGAGAACTAGGTACCTACACCAGCATTAGGCCTATCATAGACGGTCTTGCATACAGTCATATTTTAAATATTTAAATTTAATTTTTGTTCGTACTGAAATCGGCCTAGTAAATGTAGTGTAACATTTCGTTCAGCACAGTTCCTACCGCAATAGGCCAAAAGAACGAGAACTTAAAATTTTTAATATTTTATAACATATATGTATTATGTAATTTTAGCATCAAATTTGTTTTTATTTCGGCCTTGAAATTTTGGAAAAAATTTCATGATGGGCTCTCTGTTTTGGCGGTACAGATGGCGAGGAGTTCGAGTACATAGTGGTGGGCGCGGGCGCGGCGGGCGCGCCGGTCGCCGCCCGGCTCGCGCTCGCCGGCGCCAGCGTGCTGCTCGTGGAGGCGGGCGGAGACCCGGACCCCACATCCTGGGTATGCTATATATTTTTTTATTATAACACACCTCTATGACTGAAGAGACTCTGTATTATGAATACAAATAATCGTAAAGAAGATATTCTTCCCTCAATAGTGTACAAAAAGAGTCGGAGCCTCTAGTGCTTTTTAGATTGTCACATGTGCATTTTACTTAGCAAAAAAATAACACTTTTAAGTATGAATAAGTCGATGAATGTGAATATATATATTTCGTCATTAGTTATCAGGGGAATTGTGTCTACAAGTTTCCTACTACGTAACAAGCAATTTTCTGTTCACAACAGCAACTTCAATAGTCTCAAAATTAATACAAAACCAGGATAGAAGTGAATGTGATCGACTACAAAAAGTATTGTTACCGTCAGTTTAGAGTGGGCGACGTAAACGCAAAAATAAAAAAAATTAACATTTGTACTTGCCGAGAGAAAGCGTTTTGACTGAGAGACGGACAGACGAAGTCACACCATAAGAGTTACTTTGTACCATTTTTATAGAATCCTAAAATTAATACTTCATATCGTTATATGGTTAGGTATTCATATACCTGAATAAAAGATAAAACCTATCTAATATCTAACTTAACCTTAACACGGTTTATAAAAATAAATACGTATGTATCTCTCGCGAACAGAAGCTAATAGATATATACCAACTAATGACTGCTTATTGCAGGTACCAGCTGCATTTTTGTCGCTATATGGATCAGACATGGACTATCAGTACGAAACAATTTCTAACAACGTGTCGTGTTTGTCATTACTGAATAGAGCTTGCCAGGCCAGCCGCGGAAAATGTCTCGGGGGCTCCACCACCACGAATTACATGATGTACGTCCGTGGCAACCGGCACGACTACGACGCTATGAATATCACGGGCTGGTCATGGAAACACATGGAACCTTACTTTTTGCGTTACGAAGGCTTGCAAGATTTAAATCTTCTTCCCCCATCTTCCATACCATATCATAATACAACGGGTACTATGAAAATAGAATTCTTCAAACAGTCTAACGATCCATGGCATTCGAAACTCATTAATGGGTATGAAGCGCTTAATTTCCCTCGTAATCCTGATGTCAACGGGGTATCTCAAATTGGAGTCTCTCGAATCATTGGATACACATACAATAATGAGCGCATGAGTACTGCACGAGGATATCTCGGAAGAGATGATGTGAAGAGGAAACTGAAAGTGGCCAAGTACACCAGGTGCACAGGAGTTATCATAGACGATGACAATGTAACTCGTGGCATTACGGTCGTTCATGGACCTTCTAATGCTACATTACGACTCTATGCGTCGCGGGAGGTTATATTGAGCGCGGGGGCTCTCGTCACTCCACAGCTGCTAATGTTGTCGGGCATCGGTCCTGCTGATCATTTAAATGAAATGGGTATACCAGTTCGCGTAGATCTGCCAGTAGGCAATAATATGAAAGATCACGCGTTGGTGTCAGTTTTTATTAAAGTGGAGGACAAGTTAAATTTATTGAAAGGAATTTTAAATACTGCTGAAAAAAATAGTTCGTTAGCGAGTATATTATTAACTCGAGGTGGATCTATCGGCGTTACTGATGTGGTTAGTTTCGTGAACACTTTGTGCTATGATTTTGATAAACGACAGCTCACCGGAAACAGTTCCGCGTGTGAGTTGCCGACGACACAATACTTTCATCTGTATGCAGATAAAGGTATGATTGCAATCAGGGGGCCCGAAATCAAAATTCGCATGGGATTAGATGATTCTGTCATTAATCAATTAAGTGAAATTAATAAAAAATATGCTGTTATAACGGTATCGACAATAGTTTTGCAACCAAAGTCTAGCGGTACGGTGCGGTTGGCAAGCGTGGACCCGTTTCAACCGCCTGCCATTTTCCCTAATTATTTGTCTGATGACCGCGATGTGGAGGAGATAGTGCGCGGCATTCGGATTACTGAGCAATTGACGCAGACGCCGACCTTCAAGGCAGCGGGCGCGTCACTGATGCGGCTGGAGCTAAAGGGCTGCCCCTCCAGCTCGCAAGACTCGGCCGCGTACTGGCGCTGCTACGCGCGCCACCTGACGTACTCCACGTTTCATTCGGTGGGCACGAGCGCGCTGGGCCGCGTGCTGGACGCGCGGCTGCGCGTGCTCGGGGTGGCGCGACTGCGCGTGGCCGACGCGGGCGCGCTGCCGCGGCTACCGCGTGGCAACACCGCCGCCGCCGTCATCGCGCTCGGAGAGAGGCTCGCGGACTTCCTTCTAGACGATAATATTAACTAATACCGGTCACATGACTTGTTGAAATAAAAGAAAATTGTTTATGAAATGAATTTTTATTATTTTTGATACACAGTATGGACTTTCTTCTGTCTTTTATAATCTAATACAGCTTAATAAAAGTTTTAATCGGCACGAGTACTTATTCTGTGTCCAGTCTGCTACAAAAATATCTTCAGTTAGTAATCCAAATTCATCCATTATTTTCTACATCCAAATAGGTCATTTTTTAAACGTTGCCTACAGTGATGACTTGTAAGACCGGTCTTTTTAATACAGTATTAAAAAGACTTGGCTTGCAATCTTTTTGATAAAAAATGATGTAATTTTTATAATTAGACGATGCAGCTTGTCCCAATATTAACTATGGTATAGAAATTTAGGTCATTTTTGTCATTTTGCTTACAATCATTAAAAGACCTGGAAAAATTCCCCTTGGAAACTATCGTACTGAAATCCAGGTGTGTTCATCATGATGGGCTAATTGACCTGCCTTCTCATTTTCACTTGTCATCCCTCGCTAATGGCCTGCCAGCGCATACCGTTAGCAAGCAGGATCACCATTCCATTATGATCCATTAAAAAAATCAAGCCAGTCAATTATTCTATTTGCCAGTCAATCAGTCAATTTTTTTGGTGATCTTTTGGTTTATTTAACACACCGATGGGTAGTGGCAATCGAGAGTAAGAAAGAGGCTTTAGCTGTTAGTCTGGATATCGCGAAAGCCTTTGATCGGCTGTGGCATAAAGCACTAATTTCAAAACAAGGTAGTTTTGGAATTAGCGCTGGGGTTGCCTGCAAAATTATGTAGTTTGGGTCGTCAGTTTTCTTAAGGAACGTAGCATTAAGATCGTAGTCGACAGAGCATGCTCTGATTTAAAACCTTTAAATGCTAGTATCATGCAAGGCTGTGTACTATCTCTGACCCTGTTTCTTTTGCATATTAATAATATATTACAGAGATCAGTAATATTCATTGCTATGCGGATGACAGTACAGGAGATGCATTATATAGCAGTCATGCAAAGATCTCGCAGACACATACCGATGAATGCCGGAACAGATTGTGTCTGAATTCCAAACTTCGCTCGATCAAGTTCCAATTTGGCCCGAATGCAATTTTGTACAATTCAACCCTAACAAGTCTGCGCGTTTACCGCAAAAAAGACGCCGTTTGTTGTATCTCGTCACTTTCAGGGCACTTCCATTGATAATAAGTCGAGTCTAGGGGTTCTTGGCGTTGATATATCTAGCAGTTTTGCGGTCATCTGGAGGAAAAAGCTAAGATAGCTTCCAAAAAGTTAAGAGTGCTCAGTAGAGTGAGACGGTATTTTACGCCGGAACACCGCCTTAAATTATGTATAGCTCAAGTTAGGCCACATATGGAATTCCGTTCTAACCTAATGAGCATAAGCGCCACAGGACCAGCTCCTTCCATTAGACCACATTTAAGTCAAGCGGCTCGAATTGTTTTTAATTATTGACGATCAGCGCCTTACTGTCCGACTCAATTCACTGAAACTGCATGAAGATGTTGGATTTCTGTGCATTTTCTACCGAATTGAGCATGCGGAGTGGTCTGAGGAAATATTTGGATTGATGCCTGCTGCTGATTTTCACCACCGTACAACCTGCCATGAACTAAAATTTCATCCCAACCATCCGGACGAATGGTGGTCTTCCACCATGCGTTTTTCAATGCACTTTCTTCCACGCACAACTACTCTTTAGAATCAACTTCCAGCAGCAGTTATTCCGGAATAATACGATATCATAACCTTCAAGAAAAAAGCATATTCCTTTTTAAAAGGCCGGCAGCACACCTGCAATACCGTTGGTATTGTGGTGATCATGCGGTAGTCACTTACCATCAGGTGAGCCGCATGCTTGTTTGCCTCCTGTGTTGTAAAAAAAATCGCCAGCCAATCAATTCATTAATTAACCTATCATCACACCTACCCAATCAACTAATTAGTCAAATGGTTAGAAAATCGACTTGTTATTAAGTCAGTTGGGTCGACATTGATCCACCTACCAGTTACTCGGTGACGATCATTCTCATGTACAAAGTTAGTATTAAAGGGACGTAGGCAGTATAAAATAAATATCGCCGATGGGTAATACGTAAAAATGCCAAATATACGTACGTTATTTATTTACCTCCACCTGAATTACGACTTCAAGTAGATAGATAAACACTTTATTTGAACCATTTATGAGCCACGCAAATTAACAAATGAGTTCATACAAAATATTAATTACACTTTTTTTAATATAAAACAAAAGATAAAATACGAAAATATATTTTCGTCATGTGTGTCGCAGTGACCCAAATACGAGTGACTACAGGAGGAGTTCGAATTCGAACTTTTCTCAATTTCGTAATTGATTTGAATGCACGATTTAAAGGTCTGGAGGCCAATTCTCGTGGTGAATGCACGAGAATTGGCCTCCAGACCTTTAAATTCCTTAGGATGGTCAACTTTAGGAAGAGGAGTAATTAATGCCTTTTACCATTGATGAGTTGAAAGAGATGAAAAGAGACAAGTATAAATTAGTATAAAAAGTAGCCAATGTTCCTTCTTCATCCAAAATACTACGTGTAAACCAAATTTCATGACGATCGATGGAAAGAGGTTAGAAACAAACACATTATACCATTACTTTAAGAAGGATCTGGTTTTATTGTCATAAAAAATATAACCTATGGCCTACCAACTGGCGAGCAACTCTTTTTTATTTTATATTTATTTGTACCTATACTACGAAATGTATTCATTTACATTTTCTTCAACAATCAACTTCCGAACCCTTTTCTTCGACGGAACAACTCTGCACAGCGCTACTCTTTGTCATCGCGATTAAGGTATAATAAAGCGACTTCCATATGGCCCACGGTCAAGTACGAATGTAGCGCCTTAACATATGTTTCCAATGCAGATACAAATGGGTTCTTCTCCCCATTTCCCATCAAGGCCAAATAGTTAACACCTACTTAAATATAATACCATTTATACAAAATGTATTTGTTGTACAAAATTGATATTTATTATGTCTGTGTTTATTTCGTTCATTCAATACGCACCATCGACTAATTAATATTTCTTATTTGAAAGTGCTGACGTAAAACTAATAAAATACACTTATTATGTACAAAGTTGTTAAGTATTACGTAGGTGTCGATTGTATGGAAAATTTAATTTGTGACTAACAACAACTCTGCCCGTGAGAGGAGAGGTCACTACGATTACTTGGTCAAAACAATTATTTCTGACACATATAGTCGTTGGGCTCCTTATAATACGGTTGAACACAACGATGGCTGGTTCGTCCGTTATACTCGTGAACAGGTGCTTCTTTACTTGCTCCCACGTCGGCACCCGAGCTGCCTGATATAGAAGTTCAAAAAGTTTAAAGTTTGCTCGAGATAGATTAAACTTAAATCATCTGTGTTCCGTATATTTGTATATTATTTGTGTTGTGACCAGTGCTGGACACGGCCGGCCAGGAGGAGTTCAGCGCGATGCGCGAACAGTACATGCAGTACAGCAATGGCGACGGCTACTCGGTCACCGACAACCATAATTTTTGTACAAATGTATTACAAATGGATGCCAAATCAGTGTTCAGATATTTTTTTTTACAACACAGTGGGAAAACGAGCATGCGAATCACCTGATAATACGTGACCACCGCCGCCCATGATCACCCACAACACCAACGGCATTGCAGGTGTACTGCCGGCCTTTTAAAAAGGAATATGCTCTTTTCTTGAAGGATATGATATCGTATCGGTTCGGTAATACTGCTGCTAGAAGTTGATTCCAAAAAGTGGTTGTGCGTGGAAGAAAGTGCCTTGAAAAACGTACGGTGGAGGACCGCCACTCGTCCAAATGGTTGGGATGCAACTTTCGTTTGTTTCATATTTAGTATTAAAAGATTTTAGTGGTATTTAATTATTTTTATGTTAAATATATAAAACAAACAGTTCAAAATTTAGTTTTAATAAAGTACATATCTTCATTTTCTGTTTTATAATGTCAGTAAAATCTTTTTTAATAATTTAATTTCTTTAATAAATTTTTGGTGAAATTGTTTTACTTTGAGCATCTATTTTGTAACTGACAATTTTATTCTTAAAATGACATGCAGTTATATATTATTTTGTATATTAATATATTTCAAATTTAGTTTGCAACAAGCTTTTAGACTTACGAATATTAGATGTGTTTGTAAGGTTTTTATTTAACGGCTTTGTTTTTTTTTTAAATTTTTGTCTATCTACACTTCTACATCTACACTAATATTATAAATAGGAAAGATTTGTATTGTTGTGTGCTTACTTTACATTTAAGAATAGATTTTGTTACATACATTAAATTAAATTAGATCTATTGTAACAAACGTTTTGTTTTTTTTTATACAACTTTAAATGGCAAACAAGCTGGCGGCCCATCCGATGGAAAGCGATAAGCGCCGCTTATAGACATGAGCAGTACCATGGACATACCAGAGTATACTGTTTCGCCCATGATACTCCCCCCCCCCTCATGCGTTGCCATTCTTGAGGACTCATATGTTACTCCTCTGTACCCTGTAAATTCACGCCATATCCCACCCTTCAAACCGAAACACAGCCATGCAAACACAACTGCTTTACGGTTGAAATACGAATGGTACAGAGGTACCCAAGCAAACGACTTTTGTACAAAGTCTCCCTCTGGCGATTTATATCATTTATCAATAAATGTATATCAATAATATTCAAAACAGAACAAGAGCAATCACATACAAAAAAAAGTTATTAAATTTTAGATTGGTACAGAACCGGAGGAATATTACGGAAATCTTATTTCACCGCTAAGATCAGCTAGGTAACTGCTTTCCATGTGGATATTTCATCATTGACGGCAGTTTTAAAACTAATTAAGTAATCTTGCCACCTGTTGGTTGTAATCGCCTCCAGTTTGAGGTGCATACCTCGACGTAATAAATGCCACTTTAACGAGAGATATGCTCTTGAAAAAGGATTGTATATTTTACGAAATATTGTGTATAAAGAAGCGTTCTGCGCAATGAGTATTACCGAGAACTAAGCGACGCGATAAGAAATTTTTAACTCGACCGGGTACAGTCTCGTCATCCTGTAGAAACAAAGGATTGGTTAGTTACTTCAATCACTATATGACAACTGCATTTTTTTTAATGGATAATAATGGAATGGTAATCCCACACGTGCTATCGGTATACACCGGCGGGGCACCAGTAAAGGATGACAGGTGAGGATGAAGTAGGTCAGTTAGCCCATCGTGACGAATTCGACAAGAATTATTCACGATGGTTTCCAGGGGGAACCACGTGGAGGTTGATCTAATAAGGCACATTGCTAGCAATGGGGTTGTCAAACTCCATTGCTAACAATTCCTTTAGCATCCTAGACATACTGCATTATTAACTGTATTGTTAACTAAATAGTTCACATACACAAATCAGCGCGATTTGAGGAGTAAGTTTAAATTATTAGGAATTGTTCGGATTGATACCTGCTGCTGATTTTCACCACCGTACAACACGCCACAAACTAAAATTCCATCCCAACTATCTGAATGAGTGGCGGTCCTCCACCGTACGTTTTTCAAGGCACTTTCCTCCACGCAAAACCAATCTTTGGAATGAATTTGAAAACAGACCAGCGATTCACAATAAAGAATAAATCTACTGATCTTTAACGAGTATAAACAATAATTCCGGATTTATATTATTGGTAAGAACTTTCTGATACCACTGTAATAGCTCCTCACGATCGAACTCGAGACCTGACGCCGATATCATCAGTACAAACTTATACCGCTTAATTAGCAAGATAATTGCCTGCTTGAGTCAACAACAATATAGTAAATGACACTGCCTAAATATTATTTAATTTTGACTCGTTTCCGGATCAGTAAATATATTCTTTCAGTAAATAATTTCTTTTTCTTAACGTTGGTTTTTTTTTTTGATGGATGAAAATGGAAGCTCCACCTGCGCTACCGATATACGCTGGTGGAGCACCAGTAAAGGGTGATCGATGAAAATGAAAACAGGCCAGTTAGCCCATCATGATGAATTCATCAGGGATTAACCATGATATTTTCCAAGGGGAACCGCGAGAAGGTCGACCTGGTTGGATATATTGCTAGCAATGGGATTCTCAGTCTCCATTACCAACAATCCCATTCCCCCCTCTTAACGTTGGTTGTCCCTGCATCAGTCTTCGGTAATGCTAGTCTTTTCTTCAGCTTCACAGCTTGTTGAGGCTGTTTTTTTTTTAATTTGCGGGGCTTAACTTATGTGATATATAAAGTCCTTCTTCATCAGTTTCAAACGAATTAGCTAAAGAGCCTGCAATAAGAAATTGCGGCAAATAATCAAGGCTAGTGCTATCCCTCTCGCGAGCTGCCTAAGCGCCCGACGGTCGTCCTTGAATCGGAGAACTGTTAGATATCATTACTAACAATACTTTTCCTACCAAAATACTTATGTTATCTACTATCTATCATCACGTGGACGAAACCAACGCAACTAGTTATAAATAAATACTTAAAGCCTATGTTACGTCACAATTAGCAAATATATAATATATAGCGTGAGTGCCGGCTGTCGCTTAGTACAGTGACAACCTTCTCCAGCCAAGGAAAACAATGTGAGTATCCAAGTACACAGGCGGCGGGCGGCTGCCGCTGTCGCTGCGGCTGCGCTGGCGCGGAATGTGGCGGCCCCTTGCGGTAATATTGTCGTGCTCATGTTAATATAATGCTTCTATTCTTGATGACAGTGCGACCTTTTTTATACCACTGAGGTGGCAAACAAGCATACGGCCCACCTGATGGTAAGTGGTTACCGTAGCCTATGAACACCTGCAATACCAGAGATATTACGCGTGCGTTGGCGACACTGAAGAAACCTCTTTACCCCCTTTTTGAAGAACCCCATGCTGTAAGCTCTTGGGAAAACCTCGAGCTCATTCCACAACTTGAGTGTTCGTGGGAGGAAACATCTCTGAAACCGCGCAGTACGCGACCATTGAGGCTGTAGGACATGAGGATGAACACCCTATATATGGCGAACCGTACGATGGTAGCAAGTGGCTGTGGGCATCATATTGAACAATTCCTCTGAGCACATTCCGTTGTACAAGAGGTAGAACACGCAGAGTAACAAGATAAATCTCTCCTAAGACTTAAGGGTTCGATACTGCTTGTGAGCCTGGGATCATCGACAATTCTCATAGCTAGTCGTTGCAATGAGTCGAAGGGTTCAACCTGGTATTTAAGACAGCAGTACTCCATGTGGGGCCAGAGTTGCGATTTGTAGAGCATAACTTGATGGTTGACATGGCAGAAAATATAAAGAACCCGATGATTAAAACCATTTAAACAATCATATATATAAAACTTCTTATCTCGAGTCAAATAGCTTAAGCTTATAGCTTAAGTGTTGTGACGTTGGTTTACAGGGGGACAATTTCATATATTGTAATAACCACCTCATAAGCTCAAACAAAATCCTTTTACAATCGGCAGAAAAAATATACAAAGGAAAAAATTATGCCTATATTTGGGCGAAGAACTGCTCCATTATGGTGCGCTGTGCTTGACATAACATGGACATAACAGAGTATAATAGAGGAAATATATCGTAGCAAATCTCTCCTAAGACTTGAGGGTTTGATACTGCTTGTGAGCCTGGAATCATCGACAATTCTCATAGCTCGTTTAAAGATTAAAGATTTTCAGTTACAAATAATTAATATTTTACAATTATTCTTGCAAGATTGCAATATAAAGTCCTGCGCTGCTAGTGAATGGATTCAACACGAAATTAAACACACGTCACGCATTGTTCGACTTGTGTTTGGTAAAGTGTTAAAATCCGTCCAGGCGTGAAGTATTTCATGACATTTGAAGGACGTTTAATTTTTCCGATGCAATTTTACTCTGGACTCGATATATCGCTCGAAGTTAAGAATAGATGATAAATTTACCTAGGAATTCTAGATTACCAGAAATTGGAAAAGATATATTTCGTAAAATGGCTATCAAGTTGGAAGTATAAAAACGTAACTATGGCTTTACAGTATTAAAGTTTTAGTATCACCCCATTCAGACGCCAACTGAAGTCGTGGATTTGTTCTCTGACGCAAGTGTTCTCGCTGAAAAATATTTATTCATAGGTCATGATGTGTAGATAATTTCTAAAACTGATTATTTAAAACCATCGTTGATTTTATTATTATGACAATAGCGATAACAATAAGAGTAAGCTAAATGTAAGATAATATTTTTTGTTTGTTACCGTCAGGTTGGTGTTCCTACTGCTGTCAGTTCTTGGCACCGCCCAGTTTGCGGGAGCTCTCCTGCCGAGCTTCTCGATGCCTGTTGGAGTGACTCTTACAGGTAATAACAGGCATCTATATCAGCGTTTGACCTATCTTAGACTGTCTTACACCCAATTATATTTAAAGTTGAGAAGTTACCTAAAGAATTTAAAATTAAATGTAATTAATAATAATATCGTGATCCCTCAATCAAAAATCAAGGGATTTTTAGTGGATATCACCATGCCGTATGAAGAGAACCTCATGAAAGCCAAAACCGGAAAGAAGAGTAAGTATCTAGACTTGGCTCACGAGGTGACCGAAATGTGGGGTTTACATGCACCGAAATCATTACAATCGTCCTGTCGGTGTACGGTCTTATTCTAACCAGTGTGAAACAATAGCTCAGACGATTGGGATTCCAAGGTTGCTAATTCCAAGTAAAGATACAGAAAACGGCACTTTTGGATACTGCCGGTATAACACGTCGGTTTCTCTCCCTGAGGCCCTAAACGCCGGCTTCTGCCAGGGGTTGTGGCGTGGAGGACCGGGTTATTAAATTTCCTAAAATATGGTTAAGTGCATTGATGGTAAGTGGTTACCGTAGTCTATGAACCCCTGCAATACCAGTAAGTCTTAATCCACAAGTCGCTCTTATACACTTCTTCTGAGCTATGAGTACCTTATTCATAAGTTTAAAGATTCTATACATCAACATTGACCTAACGTAACCATGATACTGTGTTTATTCATATATTTTCACTATGTATGTTAATCTTTTGAGTCTGTTGTCTTTACGTAAGCAAGGTGAATAAATAAACATTGATGTATGTATGGTATATGCGACTGTAATATTGACTTAAGTCCTAATGAAACACTACTCATAGTTAAATGTATATTAATAGTGAGTAAATAATGACAGATTAATTCTATTACTTAATCTTGTTTACTACCTCTTTATCATTCTATTATGTTTGTGACTCTAATATAGTTTCCGAATGTAAATGTCTGCTGATAAGAAACTAGAATAGATTCGGCGGTTACTCTTTTAAAATCAATGTGTTACGTGATATTTACGTCCACTGAGTCTATATTTTTTTTATACCACTGAGGTGGCATACAAGCATACCGCTCATGTGATGGTAAGCGGTTACCGTAACCTATGAACGCCTGCAACACCAGCCGCTCGTTGTCGACCCCGAAGAAACCTCTTTACTCCCCTTTTAAAGAATCCTATACTGTAGTCTTTTGAGAAAACTTCGGCAGGGAGCTCATTTCATAACCTGTAGAGTATGAAGATGCCGTACAATGGTAGAAAGTGACCGTGTCATATTTACCCATGATAATATGCATACACAAATTTATTTATTTTTGACCACACATTGGCAACGTGATTTCTCCCTACTCTCGTTGCCAGCGACAGTATCAATGAGTAGCAGCTTCTCTTCGATCCGTGGTTACCCTCCCTATACCCCTTCTGAGTGTTATCATCTTATATCCGTGCTCATGACGAGAGATTTCGAACACTTTTGATAAATGCGACAATAATGTAATAGGTCGGTAAAAAGCCAATTATTTTAGTTATTGCCTTTCTTTTGTAAAGACTTCAATCAATGGCTTTCTTTAGGTTTTCAGGAAATATATCTTGATTTAATGACTCATTAATAATATATGTTAATAGGTGCTATTATGTCAGCACAGGACTTAGTTTTTTTTTTTTTTTATTATATATGCATTTTTCAACAACTTACTGTTTATTTATTTATTGACCAAAAGAAGATATAGTGCAAAAGGTGGACTTAATGCTAATAGCATTCTATACTAGTCAACCTATATTAGTATACTGTTTAAAACATTGTATATTTCCATTAGGTTTTTTACGTATATACACGTAATATATACATACATATAAGACATATGTCTTAACTTTCTTTTATTGCTACACGATATCTTGTATCCTTTAATAAACCATTTAGGAGCAGAAATATTCTTCCTTATATTTATTTTTATAAATGGAAACTATAATTCATGCTACGTCACAAAGTTATCTTGAAAATTCACTACCTACAAACTATATCTACTTTATCTAAAACATCTTGCCATGATAGGCTTAACAGATAATCTCTGAACTTGGCTATATTGTCCTGACTATAAGGAAGCCAAAGAAATTCTTGCATATTGTTCAACTTTGCTTGTCTCGTCCGTTCACAGTACATTGTCCATCATCAACTTCGTAATGCCCTGGCTCTGTTTTGGCGGTACAGATGGCGAGGAGTTCGAGTACATAGTGGTGGGCGCGGGCGCGGCGGGCGCGTCGGTCGCCGCCCGGCTCGCGCTCGCCGGCGCCAGCGTGCTGCTCGTGGAGGCGGGCGGAGACCCGGACCCCATATCCTGGGTATGTTATGTAGTCTAACTTTGTTTAAATATGACATCATCAATTCGCTTCACAACAGCTTACCAAGCTCACATCACACAGGCATTTGAATTATTCCATAACTAGTGAATCTATAAAAGTATTTAAGTATAAGCAAATATCTGGTCTCTGTCGATTATCTAAAGGTAGTCTGTAAGAGATTTTCCTAGTGCTAAGATCATCTTTTACACAAGAGTTAAATAAATAAATAAAAGAAAAGATAAAATGTTTTTAAATTTAACTGATTAACAATATGATTTAATTATGGTACATAAAAGTAGATATGAACTATGGAATCCCTCGCAGACAAAGTAGCAAATAAAAGCTAGTAGATATACCAAACAATTACTGTTTTATACAGGTACCAGCTGCATTCGCAGCGCTAGTGAATCCAGCCATGAACTATCAATATAAAACAATTTCTAACAACGTGTCGTGTCTGTCATCACAGAACAGACAATGCCAGGCCCATCGCGGCAAGGGTCTCGGGGGTTCCACCAGCATCAACTACATGATGTACGTCCGCGGTAACCGACACGACTTCGACGAGCTGAACATCACCGACTGGTCCTGGAAACAAATGGAGCCTTACTTTTTGCGTTACGAGGGCTTGCAAGATTTGAATCTTCTTCCCGCATCTTCCATACCATATCATAATACCACGGGTACTATGAAGATAGGATTCTTCGAAGACTCTAAAAATCCGTGGCATTCGAGAATTATTGGTGGATATGAAGCGCTTAATTTCCCTCGTAATCCTGATGTCAATGGGGTATCTCAAATTGGAGTTTCTCGAATTATTGGATATACATATAGAAACGAGCGCATGAGTACTGCACGAGGATATCTCGGAAGAGACGATGTGAAGAGGAAACTGAAAGTGGCCAAGTACACCAGGTGCACAGGAGTCATCATAGACGATGACAATGTGGCTCGTGGCATTACGGTCGTTCATGGACCTTCTAATGCTACATTACGACTCTATGCGTCGCGGGAGGTTATATTGAGCGCGGGGGCTCTCGTCACTCCACAACTACTTATGTTGTCGGGCATCGGTCCTGCTGATCATTTAAATGAAATGGGTATACCAGTTCGCGTAGATCTGCCAGTAGGCAATAATATGACAGATCACGCGCTGGTGTCAGTTTTTATTAAAGTAAAAGAAGAATTAAATTTATTGAAAGATATTTTGAATACCACTGAAAAAAATAGTTCGCTAGCGAGTATATTATTAACTCGAGGTGGATCTGTCGGCGTTACTGATGTAGTTAGTTTCATGAACACTTTGTGCTATGATTTTGATAAACGGCAGCTCACCGGAAACAGTTCCGAGTGTGAGTTGCCGACGACACAATACATTCATCTGTATGCAGATAAAGGTTTGCTTGCAATCGGGGGGCCCGAACTCAAACTCCACCTGAAAATTTTATGACTCTGTGATTAATCAATTAAGTGAAATTAATCAAAATTATGCTCTTATAACGGTATCGCCCATAGTTTTGCAACCAAAGTCTAGCGGTACGGTGCGGTTGGCAAGCGTGGACCCGCTTCAAGCGCCTGCTATTTTTCCTAATTATATGTCTGATGACCGCGATGTGGAGGAGATGGTACGCGGTATTCGGATTATTGAGCAGATGATGGAAACGCCGGTGTTCAAGGCTGCGGGTGCGTCACTAGTGCGGTTGGAACTAGAAGGCTGCCCCGGCAGCAGCCAGCAGCAGGACTCGGCCACATACTGGCGCTGCTATGCGCGCCACCTAACATACACCGTGTGTCACGCGGTGGGCACGAACGCGCTGGGCCGCGTGCTAGACGCACGGCTGCGCGTGCGCGGGGTGGCGCGCCTGCGCGTGACCGACGCGGGCGCGCTGCCGCGGCTGCCGCGCGGTAACCCCGCCGCCGCCGTCATCGCGCTCGGCGAGAGGCTCGCAGACTTCCTTCTAGAGGATAATATTGATTAATGTCGTCATTTGTAAAAATAATAAAAAATTATGACGTGTGTTTTGTTTCTAATGAGTTTTATTGTATTTATTGAATGAATGAGTATACGAATACTTGTTTCACATCCGTTCTACAATAAAAATCCTTCGTCGGATCGTATTCGTGTGTGATGCAAATTAAAGATTTATTTATAGCAACTGAAATTTTTCCATCATAGAAGAGTTACTAAAAAAACATGTGTATCGACTTATCCAATGTGGAAATAAAAGGGCTCCATTTCCCATTATCAAGGTCAAATACTTAACACCTAAATAAGCATAAATACGTCTATTTGAATTGTATTTGTAATATACTAGGTCACTCAAAAATTATTGCGAGAAAAAGTTTTTATGTATGTGAGATTGGCCAGTTATAATTTATTTTAAAATATAATTACTTATAAGTAAAAATAGGTACGTTCTAAATTCAAAACTTCCCTCCACATTTTTTGCGAGCTAATTACAATAACGAGTTACACACCAAGAGATTCAGCATATACTGCATGATGTTGATGAATAGACAGGTAGGTTTACACTTGGTACGTAAGACACAAATATATTAGGTAAAGATGTGGATATATTGGTTGTTCACTTTACCATAGTGAAATAGTTAACAGATGTCTCTGATAATATCATTTAAGATTAAAGTTATGGAAATATATATTTAATACACCCCCCCCCCCCCCCGCCCAATACGACAAACGGTGTCTTTTTTGCGATAATGCATAGACTTGTGTCTTCTTAGGGTTGAAGTGAACAAGATTGCGTTCGCCCCAGATCGAAACTTGATCGAGTGAAGTTTCGATTTCAGTCTGTCTGTTCCGGACACAAGTCTGTTCCGGAGCTCATCGGTATGTGCCCGCGTAATTTTTGCATTTTTTTTTTACAACACAGGGGGCAAACGAGCATGCGGCTCACCTGATGGTAAGTGACTACCGCCGCCCATGATCACCCACAACACCAGCGGCATTGCAGGTGTGCTGCCGGTCTTTTAAAAAGGAATATACTCTTTTCTTGAAGGTTATGTTGTCGTATCGGTTCATGACCGGTGTATAATGCATCTTTTGAAGAACCCCATGCTGTAGTCTCTTGGGAAAACCTCGACAGGGAGCTTATTCCATAACCTGAGTGTTCGTGGGAGAAAACATATCTAAAACCGTACGATGATAGAAAGTGGCCGTGGGCCATTGAATAATTCCTCTGACTAAAGACCCCTCTCCTAAGACTTAAGGGTTAGTTGTATACGATGTTTCGAATGGATAGTAGATAATTGTAATTAAATTCTGCTTGACACTAAAAGTGTGGTTAACGTAATTTAAAAGATAATTAAAGGTTAGTCGTGTAGGTCCCGGTATAGAATAAGCCACCCCCTCCTTGCCCGGGGCGACTAAGGAAGCTTATGGGGCGGTGGGGGACAGGAAAGAGAATGGGCAGCAGCGTCCCACCCAAAGCCAAACTGCGGTTGCCAATCCGTCTACCAAGCGTGGCAACTATTGGAAAAAGGAAGGCTCGATATAAATCACTATACTCACCAAGTCTACTGCGGCAATTTAAACAAGTAATGAGCAGCCTACTATGGCAACGATTTTTTTTTGATGGGTGAAAATGGTATGGTAACCCCGCCTGCGCTAACGGGATACGCTGGCGGAGCACCAGTGAAGGGTGATCGATGAGAATGAAAACAGGCCAGTTAGCCTATCATGACGAATTCATCAGGAATTAGCCATGATAGTTTCCAGAGGGAACCGCGAGGAGGTCGACCATATGGCAACGATTGGTTAACATTCTTCTCCCGGAGGAAAGGGATTATTAAGAATAGGGTCTGTCTGCCACATGCTAGCAATATACTCTATCAGGTCAACTTCTAAGCGGTTCCCCTCGGAATTATCGTAAAAAATTATTGTTTAATTCGGCACGATGCGTAAATTGTTTAACATAACTATTTCATCCTCACAGATCATACTTCACTGGAGCCCTGCTATTGTATACCGTTGGCTCAGGAGGGCTCACTGTTTTCACCCATTAAGAAAAATAAAAAACAAAAGAAAATAACATGAATCCTCCTTCATTCATTACATACGGTTCATTACATACAGTTAGTAATGTCAACAGAACTAAAGATTCAAAATTACTTCAAAATCGGTTCAAATAAATTTGATCCCAATTTAAATTATAAGATTTTACCTAAACAAATAAAGTAATATACATATATGTAAATTTAATAAATCTATAATAATAAAAAAATGACGTCGACATTTCACGATATCGTGGACGTCCACAGCAAAGTATAAAAGCGATCATTTTCACGACATATCGTGAACTGCACAATAGTTCGTGCTTCCACGTTGGAAGTTCACGATAAATCGTGCACGAATAAAAGCGCTTATTGTCTTATCCAGTGTTACTGGCCGTAATATCTCGTATTCCTTTTAATAACTGTCTACAGTCTTAAAGCTTGCAGCTCTTGCACTTTTTTATGAGTAAAAATATAATGATAACACGTCATAAACCATTAGTTAACACTGGCAACATACCTATAGAGGACGTAACTGAGACTGAAGGCAGGTCAGTTGTCATTAAGTCGATCAATAATGGCGATGGTCTCCAGAGACCGAAAAAAGTTAACCTGATAGGGTATACTGCTAGTAATTGGGTTAGTAACTTATGTGGACCTGGTAAAAGAGAGGACACTGTTACTAGTAACTGTTCAAAATTAACCTTTTTACATATATTATAGTTTTTTTTTTTTTTTTTTTTATAAAAAAAAAAATTAATAAACAATTGAAATAGAACAAAATATATACATACAATACGTCAAGTCAACAGACGACAATTTTATCTTACAATTAATATAATTAAATAATACCTATATACAACAAGAACCAGCATATTTTACAAACATAATTAATAAATAGTAACAGATTAATGATAAAAGAATTATATTAATCCATGATACATGCTTTTCTTACTTGCAAATATACATACAAGCAGCATAGTCAGCTAAAATTGCATCCCATTCTTGTCTGGCGTTGCTGTACTTAAGTAAAAAGAACAGTCTATGATAAATACTTACGTCAAGATTTTGTTTTACTAATAGAAGTTATTAAAGTAAATATTGTCTAAAATTAAAAAGAGCTCTTATTAACAACAACTTAATAACAACAAATTTTGGGAACCTAGTAACTCAGTGGTGTGTAGGTATGTTGCTTTGTGTAAATGTACAGGGTACAATCCTTGATAGGACAGATTCAAACTATTCTACAATTGCTCGGGTTTGCGTAGACTGAGTAGTGTGAGTGGTCGTGTCTCTCTGACTGTACTCAATTGAATAAAGTTAGCAACTGTATGTGCTGTGTCGTAAAATTCATGAAAGGCAAACGGAAGTGAACCCATATATATTGTAAGATATCTTTCACCATACCAAATATTGCGTGTTGTATATGCTACATTTTATGACGATTATTAGCAGTAAAATGCTAGAAATAATAAATTTAGTCGGACATTTTTGAATTAGGAAGGATTCCAACTAACTGCTCACTGCAGCTTCGTCCACCCAGAACTCTTTCATTTACGTTAAGTTTTTATCAATTTCAATGGAAATTTCATAAAACCATTATAGTTACGTTTCTACTCAAGCGGTTATAAATGTCCATCAATAGATCCGTCACTCAGCATAATTTTTTCAAACAACCTCAAGAAACTTTCTCCTTCCGTCCGTTATTTTTTACCCCTTCTATTGACATTTTTTAATATGTAAATTTATTGTATTTATTTATTTATTTATTTATTTATTTTAATAAGGCACACATAACAAATTATAACCTTTTGTTAGGTTTATATATAGATAATTATGGTGTTAATGCTAGGTTATAATTCAAAAACATGTGTACACAACATGATTAACATTTAAACATAACATTTCAATTTCGACATGTGACAGACATAATAATTAATTAGTAAACATTATATACATATATCATAATTTACATTAAAAGAAATTGAAACCATAAAACTATCATCACACAAGAAAAACAGCCCAGCCTTAGGATGGCCTTAACATGAACCACATCACTAAATACCAGTAAACGTGCAAGTTCATTCCAAACGGCTCACGCACCTCCTGAATGATGACAGTTTCATGTCGAATATATCAATGAATTTGTGGTTGAGCATAAGATCATTATATTGTCGGCACATTCTGACAAGTGGATTATAATAAGAAGTATTGGTTCTGTGAACCTGAAGAGCAAACAATTTATGACTAGGATTTCGTGACTTAAATCTTGTATTAAGGCGTATGGCTGAAAGAAGAGGAGGTGATTCAATTATGTTATTGACTATTTTAAATAAGCAAATTAGGTCACTGCACCAGCGACGTGTTTCCAAAGATGTGATACCGAAATACCTAAGTTTATCTTCATAAGACTTTAATATACGGAGTTTATTTGACTTAAATGAAAGTATTTTTAGACACTTTTTTTGGACATGTTCAATGCGATCATTATGGATTTTATAGAACGGAGACCAGACAACGCTATTGTACTCTAAAATACTTCTGACAAGTGCAAAGTATAAATATTTTAAACTCTGATAATTCTTAAATTGTTTAGTACATCGAGTGATAAAACCTAATAATTTGTTACTCCTGTTAACTACAGCGTCATAATGTTCGTGAAATGTTAATTTTTCGTCAAAAGTTATACCAAGATCATTCACAGATCGCTTGCGCTGCAATATTTCTTCATTTATTTTGTAATCATATACAATTTTACGAGCGTTACGTGTAAAAGATACAATAAAACATTTTTTCACATTTAAAAACATATTGTTGCGATTACACCAATCAGTAATAATATTGATGTTGTCTTGAAGCAATTGACTATCACTTTCATCCTTCACCGCACAAAAAATCTTAAGATCGTCTGCATATAACAGGGTAGGGCACGTTAAACTTTCAGCGAGCTCATTAATGAAAATATTAAATAGTAATGGGCCTAAATGTGATCCTTGTGGAATACCCGAAGAGGCAACAACGGATGAAGACAGATATCCTGCCAATGCCACTAATTGACTTCTATTAGCCAAATAAGATTGAATCCACCTTAAAAGATTCCCATGAATGCCATACTGTGCCAACTTATGATAAAGAATCAAATGACTGACTTTGTCAAATGCCTTAGAGAAATCTGTGTATATAGAGTCCACTTGTAATCTTTTAGCGAACGATCTGCATAAATAATCCTTATATTCCAACAAATTACTTGTAGTTGATTTATTACTTATGAATCCATGCTGTTTAGTTGATAAGATTGGTTTGACGTGATTATAAATGAAATCGCAAATAATACCTTCAAATATCCTTGCAAAATGAGACAAAATGCTGATTGGTCTATAGTTCTCACACTGAGAACGGTCACCTGACTTATGAATAGGCACAACATAAGCCATTTTCTTAAAAATATCGTTTTCAGACAACAATATATGATAGATTGAATAATTATGATATATATTGTCGCTGTCATTGCACATAAGATTAGAAGAAGAGGTTTCATAAACTGACCCAAAATATTGAGCAAAAAGTTCACATGCCTCTTGACCATTTGAAGAAATAAGGCTTCTGAATTTCATTGATACTGGCATAGAATTAACAGTTTTTCTACTTTTTACGTATTGCCAAAAAGATTTTACATTAGTCCTAAGTGAGTGTTCAATCGAAGATAAGTAGCTGTTATAACATGACTTCATTAGATTTTTACTTCTCTTCCTAAGAAGAGCAAATGTGTCGTAATCTCTTGGATTTCCGTATTTTTTAAACCGTTTGTGCATTCTATTTTTCTCAGCGATACATTTTTTAAGAGGTAAACTAAACCATGAAGGATATTTTTGTGTATTAATTTTGGTTAGTGGTGTATATTTATTTATTATTTCTCTTAGTTTAGTATAAAAGGTTTCAACGGCGCAATCAGTATTTAAATGAGATAATATAGATTCCCAATCCACTCGATGAAGTTCACTTCTAATTTTTTCGAGATTACATTTTTTATAATTAAGACTCTTATATGCCTTCGGCTTAATATAATGGGGTGATAAGTCATCAATATCTACATTAACTAAGAGACAAGGATGATGATTATCAATCCGAATTAATGGATCACTAGTAGTATGAATTTCAGATAAATTCAAATTAGACAATACAAGATCAAGTAGACGATTATTTTTATTTGGAATATTATTATACTGGTTAAGATTACAAAGAAACATAGTGTCGATTAGGAGGTTAGATTTTAGATCCTTAGGGTCACTCGGCATCATTATATTAGATGAATCTGACCTTGTCCACTCAACTCCAGGTGTATTGAAATCACCAATACAGATGAAATCATTAAACTCATTTGCTTGTAAAATTGTATTTTGAAGTTTCTCGTAAAATTGTTGTAATTCGACAATTGGTAAATCGGGCGGTAAATAACATAAATTAATATTGAGAACATTTTTCTTTGACGAATTTACAGGGAGTATGCTCAACCACAAATCCTCGACTTGACTTTCCCATGATGTCTGACGGACAAACCTGAGATTTTTTTTTATAGCTATAGCTATACCACCCCCTTCTTTCTTATGGACGTTAGTGAAACTACGGTCACGGCGAAGAATGTTATAACGAGCATCCAGTAATTCCGCGTCAAATATAGTAATCAGGTTTGTCTCGGTCAGACATATTATATCATAATTACAATTCAAAATACCTAAATAAAGTTCAGTTATTCTAGTACGAATTCGATTTACATTCTGATAATATATAATCATTTTACAACAAAAAAAAATTCCTTAATGTTTTACCTTTGAATATTTAATTTAAAATAATAGTAATAAAATATGTTAAAAAAATATTATAATGAAACTAATTTAGACTTATTTGGACTTATTTGTCGAGCAGTAGGCACATACTACAGTCGTACCAAATTATCTTCGTTTTTTATGAGAATAGCACCTGAATGATCATCCTTACGCACGTATATACGACCATATTTGACCCAGACATATTTATAATTTTTCTCGGATGCAGTTTGTCTTGTTTTGAGATGTAAAATTTTACATTCAGGAGAGAAATGCTCCGCCATATATATCCTACAGGATTCACCTTGTAGATCCAGGTGCGATGAGTTAAGAGGTTCCTTGGCATGAGCTTTATTATATCGCATGTATGATGATAAAATTGTGTCGCGTAATCGGGGACTAGACACCGTAACTAGAATATTACGCGGCCGTTTGGATGACCTATTCATTTTAGCAACCCGTCTGCATGCTTGTATCTGGATGTCTTCAAGTGGGACTTTTATTGTTTCACATAATTTTTTTAATAGCGATATTAAATTCTCATTGAGGTTTTCTGGGACAGCCTGTATCTCCAAATTACAACTCCTAGAGATCTTTTCCATATTTGATATACGACTCGTCAAGGTGCCGATTTGTTCTTGTAATAATACATTTTTTGATTCTAAAGTTTTTATAATATTACATTTATCGACAATTTGAGACTTTAAAGTCGCTTGTTCTTCTGTAACAAATTCCAATGAAGCAGCAAAATCATTCTTTATTTCCTGAATCACAGTCTTCATCTCAGAGTGAACCAATTTTTTTATATCTTCTTGAAGGAGCTCACGAAAATCACTCATAAATTTGGAGAAACCAGTTTTCAACTTTGAGTCGAGCAATTCACCAATTTTTCCCATAGTGACCAACTCAAAGATCACCTGAGATGAACTGCAAACTGAGCCCATCTGCGTGCTGTCTAACTGAGTGTGGTTTATGTTATCCAGTGACATGTCAATTGAGTCCTCTCCATAAGGAATCTGATGATGTTTAACTGGGGTTTTTATGTTTGATTTGGTACGGCGAGTTATATTATGACATGACGGACACACCCACGAAGAACGATAGTCCTGACTGAGGGATAAAAAATGTTCCTTATCAATATTTAGGCATTGATGATGATATTTTCCGTTGCATTGTTTACATTTCATCATTAGATTTGATGATGATATGTCACGCCGGCAAGCTTCGCAATTCATTGTCACAATATTATTAATGTTGCTGTTATTCTGAGACACGCCGCCCAGCAGTGCCCTCTGCTCGACACACTGATAAATAACTCAATAAATATACCAATTATCCCTCAATAGCATTAGAGTTAACCATACCTATACTTGCTTTATAATTCAACTTGATTATTGAAATTATTCTCTTAATAACAATGTATGTTTATATTAATTTTTAAATAGCGTTGAAAGTATCTGAACTTAGTACATAAATTGGACTGCACATAGTCCAATAATCAATAAAACTTATTCCAGCAATTTTGATCACTTCAGATATCAAATCATACACCTACCAGATCACGTAATTAGTTGTTATGTGTAGACATATGTATAAATGACAATGTACTATAATCTAGACTTTTAATATGTGAGGTCAAATTAAATAATGTAATTGAATTATAATTTAGTTTACCGGTTTTTTTTTTATATAAAATGTAAAATATTTACATGCCTACATCTTGTAAGGCAATTAAACAGGTGCCAAAATAATACCACGTGGCTTGTAATAATTTTAAACTGTTTAATGCAAATAAACTAATTTCATTTAATTTTCACAGAAGGAGACAGATTTTTCCAAAAACAATCAAACTCTATATAAAACTTAAAAGAAACTATTAAAATTTAAGTTAGAAACTATTTTTTTTTCATTAATATCTTATATTAAAAAAAAATGTAAAAACTTGTTCGTTACGTAATATATTTTTTATCATTTCAACGGGTTATGTGACCAGTATCAATTAACATTATCCTCCAGAAGGAAATCCGCTAGCCTCTCGCCGAGCGCTATGACGGCGGCGGCGGGGTTGCCGCGCGGCAGCCGCGGCAGTGCGCTCGCATCGGCCACGCGCAGGCGCGCCACCCCGCGCACGCGCAGCCGCGCGTCCAGCACGCGGCCCAGCGCGCTCGTGCCCACCGAATGGAACGTAGTGGATGTCAAATGGCGCGCGTAGCAGCGCCAGTACTCGTCTGAATCCTGCTGCTGGCCGTCGCTGAGGCAATCTTTCAGTTCCAGTCGCACCAGCGACGCGCCCGCAGCCTTGAACACCGTCGTCTCTATCAAATGCTCAATAATCCGAATGCCGCGCACCATCTCTTCCAAATCGCGATCGTCAGACAGATAATTAGGAAAAATAACAGGTGCTTGAAGCGGATCCACGCTTGCCAACCGAACCGTTCCACTCGACTTCGGCTGCAATGGTACTGACGTCATCCTTATAAGAGCATAATTTTTACTAACCTCACTTAATTGATTAACTACAGAGTCATCTAATCCCAGATATCTGAAGATGACTTGTTCGACTACAGGCAAACCTCTACCTATATACAAATTATAGAACTGTGTTGTTGGCAACTCACACTCCGTACTGTTTCCCGTGAGTTGTCGATTAACAAAATCATAACACAATGTGTTTACAAAAGTAGCTACATCAGTGAGGCTGATAGAACCACTTGGAGGTACCAACATACCCGATTCAGAGCTATTTAAAATTTCTTTCGGTAAATTTAACGATTCTTCTGCTTTAACAAAAATTGACACTAGTGATTGATCTGTCATATTATTGCCTACTGGCAGATCTACGCGAACTGGTATACCCATTTCATTTAAATGATCAGCAGGACCGACGCCTGACAACATAAGTAGTTGTGGAGTGACGAGCGCCCCCGCGCTCAATATAACCTCCCGCGACGCATAAAGTCGTAATGCAGTTTTAAAAGGTCCATGAACGACCGTAATACCGCGAGCCACATTGTCATCGTCTATGATAATTCCTGTGCACCTGGTGTACTTGGCCACTTTCAGTTTCCTCTTCACATCATCTCTTCCGAGATATCCTCGTGCAGTACTCATACGTTCATTTCCATATGTATATCCAATAATTCGAGAAACTCCAATTTGAGATATCCCGTTAACATCAGGATTACGAGGGAAATTGAGAGCTTCGTACCCATCAATGATTCTCGAATGCCACGGATTTTTAGAGTCTTCGAAGAATCCTATCTTCATAGTACCCGTGGTATTATGATATGGTATGGAAGATGGGGGCAGAAGATCCAAATCTTGCAAGCCCTCGTAACGCAAAAAATAAGGCTTCATGTCTTTCCAGGACCAGCCCGTGATATTCAGCTCGTCGAAGTCGTGTCGGTTACCGCGGACATACATCATATAGTTGATGCTGGTGGTGCCGCCGAGACCCTTGCCGCGGCGGGCTTGGCATGCTCTGTTCCGTGAAGACAGACACGACACATTATTGGAAATTGTTTTATATTGATAGTTCATGGCCGGGTTCGCTAGCGCCACAAATGCAGCTGGTACCTGTAATAAATAGTAATTGTTTCGTATATCTACTAATTTTTATGTGTGTGCATGCGTGCGTGCGTTCGGGCGTGCGAAAATAATTAAGATACAGGGTGTAAGGGACAGGTTATCATAAACCGAAACAGTGAATTCAGACCATTATTCAGATCCGAAAGCCAGTGGTAATTCTTTACGGAAAATTTCAATTTCTTCCCCTATTTTTCTCATTCAAAATCATGTAATCTATGATATTGTGTCATAATATAAAGAAATAATAATATTTTATAGTGACATACTATGAAATATACAAAAAAAACAGTAACAGCAAACGTACCACGCGTCGTAAGGATCGTAAAATTTCAAATTTCAAATACACTGCGCGGCGTCAAAACTAAGAATCGTTAATTATATGGCTACGGTACATTTCCGCTGGGAAAATAATCTGCCATTTAGTTCATCTGGATCAGCTGTTTTTGTTTTGGACAACCTGTCCCTTACACCCTATGTATAGCACACATACATCAGAAGAAAACAGCGAAGGAAAATAAAGAGAGAGAACACAGGAAAATGGAAAGGGAGAGTTAATAGGATTTAACCGAGATTTTGAAGTTAGTGGAAGTTTAAGCACACCGAACAGAGGCAGGTAGTAAGTTCCACAAGCGAATTGCTTGGACAGTAAAGGATTTAGAATGAAAGGAAGAAGTATGAGCGGCAAATTTAAGGCGGACGTTATTGACACTGCGTAAAGTATGCTCATTAGCCTCACTGAGAAACACGAATCGGTCTTTTAGATAATCAGGAGCAACGAGTTTAAAAATAATTGCATAAAGAAGAGACAGGACTCGCTGATATTGTAGCTTTATAGATGAAATTATTTTTAATGTCAGTTGAGTAGTTTTTGAAATTATCCAATATAAACAAACAATTGAATCTTTCTTCTATATAATATTAGTATAGACTACATAGCATACCCAGGATATAGGGTCCGGGTCTCCGCCCGCCTCCACGAGCAGCACGCTGGCGCCGGCGAGCGCGAGCCGGGCGGCGACCGGCGCGCCCGCCGCGCCCGCGCCTACCACTATGTACTCGAACTCCTCGCCATCTGTACCGCCAAAACAGAGCCAGGGCATTACGAAGTTGATGATAAAATAAATTATACACCGAAACTGGGCCCGGTGATGTTTCGTTTATTATAAACCGTACTGTGAAGTATCCGGATGAGCAATGTTGAACAGTATGCGAATTACTTTGATCTGATGGCAATGAGGATATCTGTCGGACGTATCGCCATCCCAGAGAGTCACTCGAACATGTGCTATCGGATTGTTCAGCTCTTGCCAACAGTGAGTACTTACATATCCACAAACAGGAAGCCGAAATACTCCATCAAGACTTAACTCTCAAGTACGGCTTTATGAATTAGAGGCTGCCATATTATAAGTAGGAGCCTCAGCTGGCCCTTGTTAAGATTCCGAAGCGGTTCACTCCCGGGAAAAATGCAGAAGGCGGTGCTCTTGGATACGACCCGCATAGTACGCCTGTTTCTCACCCTGGGGTCTTGAACTCCGGCCGACTGTGTTTCTGCTGGGGGTAAATACATGTAATGACTCGTTGGAGTCAATATATGGCCTTAATTTAAGATTCACTTAAAATGTTATTTATTTAGAATCTATATTAATAATTTAAATTACATAAAATATCACATATTTTTTTAAATAACTATGGTATTATATTATTGTATTGATATTGTGATTTAATTAAAATATTGTAAAATTTTTTTGAATGTTGTTTACAACAGGATTAGTAAAATATTACGTAAGTATGTTATATTAAGTATTCTATGAAATAATGTAACAAACGTAATAATAATTTGTTTTTGTTGTAAATTAGTTTATTTATTTATTTATAGGATTATCAACACAAGATACAGCTAAACATTTCAATACAATACACTGGTAGATTAGATCTAACTGTTCTTACATTTATAGGCGACCACAGCATGCTTTGTGGTTGGTAAACATTAAAATAGAATTAAATTATTAAA